ATATATATATATATATATATATATATTTATTTATTTATTTATTTTACATGCCATTGGCACACGAGGTGTGAAAGGTTCATAGCAATAAATTATAGGTCTATATTATATGTTCGGAAACACGTCAACCATAACAATAATGACGATCATGATTATAGTGGTGGTGGTGATGAAGATGATGATAGTGGTGTTGGTGATGAAGATAATGATGGTGATAGGCCTAATGGTCAGGGGCGGATCCAGTATTTAAAAGAGGGGGTTCAAAATATTTCCAAAAAACTCAAATTGAAAGGGGGGTACGTGGGTCCTCTCCCGGGAAAATTTTGATTCCCAGATGGCCGGAAATGAGCTTTCCCGATTTCTGAGGTGCCTTTTAAGGACCTTTAAGTTCTTCAAATTTCAAGATTTTCCCCCTCTTGAAAAAGGTCAGTTAAGTTTATCTCATTCTTAGACCTATACATAGAGAAAACAAATCAAAGACATGGGCAATATTATTATTATATTCCAACAATATTGAGTAGTTGGATACGCAGTCTTTTTTCGGATTGATGAGCCGATAGGCCTGTAGAAAGCACTTTCGTACATAAATTATAACGTCGAATCAAAAACAGTGTTTATATATTTTATTTAATTGAAGACTAGTTGGGCTTAACCTTGTTTGTCAGATCTGCCAACTTATGCCTAGGTAGGTAAGCATGCATTTTGTAAGCCAGTACCCAGTAGTATTTTGTCACGTTTCTTCACGGAGGGTGGGGGGGGGAGTCCGAACGCCCTGAACCCCCTTTATCCACAACTGATGGTGGTGATGATGGTGGTGATTGTGGTTATGAAGATGATTATGCAGTTCATGATGATGATAATGATGGTAGTGTTGGTAGTGATGATGAAGCAGAAGAAGATGCTAATGAAGATGACGATGACGATGGTAATGATAATATTGTTGAAGATGATGGTGGTGATGAAGATAATGATAATGATTTTCCAATAATTTATCAGAATTGTATCAATTTTCACGATCAGCACATAAAGCAACCGAATGTCATGTGGCCTCTTAGTTATTACGACAATAAATTTTATCCTATTTGATTTTAATTTTTAAAATGAATTACTGTAGCCCTATCGTGATACATGATACTGTGTTGTTAATTGGTAATTTTATAGCTAGGCTAATGAACTATATAAAAATAATACGCTTTCACGAATGCCTAATTCTGAAAAAAGTACATTACAGTCTCTGTAAATTTATTGAGATTTATATAAAACGTTCACGTAAGGAATATTAGTGATGCGTGTTTTTATGATAATTAATTGTTGATTCTGTGTCGCCAATAATAAATCTCAATTACTATATATCTTTATCATTCTTGATTTGCCTTTAATATTACGAGTGTTTTCGAAATGCATATGGGACGATGCAGTCTAGACATAAGTAAACTTGTTTACATTTAGCGGTTGTTCGCTCTAAAAATTATTCAGAAGATGTGTCTTATAAAGCGTTTCCCCCTATAGTGATTGACGGCTGGAACTGTCAAACCTGTGCGATATTGATTATGAAAAACTCCGTGCAAGTCTCAGCCCCTGTTTTTCAGTGGATCACATTAGGTTATAGGCCTACATCTTTTTTTAAGCATGAACATTGTTATGCTCACTATCACGTTTCTGTCTTACGAATACCGAATTCCAAAGGCGTGTATTATTTTATTAAAGTTTAATGCTAAGTTGTTAAAGAAAATCTTGTTTGTGATCTCGTAAGATATTAACCTGTATTGATGACACCCAAATCGACATGTGTCGTCGGTCCGTCTCTGGTATTTTGATCGAGACCAAATGCTCTGGATCATTTGCAGATCAGCCCACAGTGCACTCTTCATGTTCACGGAGTGTTTAGCCAACATTTCCCTATGTTTGGATACAATCGGTGCAACTCGGAGTTAAATTCTCATCTAGCCTGTCTTGATAGCTTGTGCATACTTAGGTTTATCCCACGGTTACCAGTACCCTGGACCGTGGTGCTAACATATTATTCAACGAGTTACGAAACTATTGCTCTCCGTTGAACTTCAGCTCAAAAATTTGATGTTGACAGACCTCCGTGGTCTTACTGTATGAGTACCTTACTCGACCTATAGTCACAATCGCTATAATTGTTTATATAGGCCTATGAGATTTACGTATTTTGAACACTATAGGCATTATTTGATTTTACACATTTTGTGCCTTTTCACAATGACATAAATGAAAAAGTATTTACGAGGTACCAGCAATGAGTCCAAAGACCTTGCCAATTGCGTGACGTTTTTGTATTGACATTTTAATCACATGTTGCTGTTATTTCATTGTGAAAACTTCCAAAAAATTATGATCACGACCCACCCAGAAAAATCCCGGATACACCCTTGAAATGGTGGTATAGAATAAAAGCAACGCTCCAACATGAGACAAGTCTCAATGCAAGCCTGAAACACAAGTTCCAAAATAATAAAACATGTACATAAGGCCTCATATCTATGTGGAAAATGATACAGTACAAATGATCACGTATACAGAAGAACACATCAAGGACTGAGGGGTTCCTGTAGCGAAGTTGCGTGTCTTTTTATGTTCTTTGGGAGTGAACAGCCTGGGTCCGACCCGGAAAGAACACGGATGCAGCTGTGTGGAATATACAATATCCTCGGGCTTTGCTCTTTTGACACAGCGATGATCGCAATTTTCAAACACAAAAGTCTCGGGGAAGTGTCGTGAAAACGGGATATTTAGATGTCAATGCACTTAGGGCATCGACCAAATAGGCCTATTAGACGTATATTTAAATATAGCTTGAGATATATCATTTTTAGACAGTCAGGTCAAGCACACTTGATCAGATATTTAGAGCTATTTTTCTGTGTTCAACCACGAAGACGAAGGTATGAAACAAAAATACTTTTTATGTTTGTGGTTTAACATAGTTTTATAAAGCTGAATGTACCAGTGTTTGATCGACGGTAAAGAGTACAAACCTAATGACATACTGTATTATTAAAAGCTCAATTGGCCTACAAAATGTAGGCACAAGAAGGTACTAAATACATCATCGTTATTTATTTATTTATTAATAGGCCTACTTTGAATTTATTTATTTATTTAGAAAATAGTAAACACATATAAAGCTATATACGTGTACAAAAAAATATTTTGACATATAAAAATGTATAATTTCACAATATTATTTTTAAAAGACGAAATATACACAACGGTAATAAATCATTGACCCTAAATGGGGATTTAACTTTCGTAGATAACATCACAAAACACAAGATCACGCGATGTTTTATATCCCATGAGTATTGCAGACTGGACATGATAATAGATCCCCGGTGCTTCATGTTTATCATTAATGATTTAGATAATTGCAATTGGTTTGAAATTATCACAATTTAACGCTACGGTAAACATGGTTGTAGTATTATACCCGGAACATGCGTACACCATACGACCATAATTATTAATTTACCTGAATAAATAAACTGCACTGTTAACTAAAGATACAGCATTCTCCATTGAGCTGATAATTGGAGTTAAGCCATAACTCTAAAGAGATTATCATAACCAGGGATGCCGACTAATTTACTATATATACAAATAAATCTCACTGAGGCAGATTACAACCTGTTTGACTTTGATTTTATCTTGTCACCATGCCTATATTTTTTATACTGTGCGTATAGATTTGATATACTGTAGACCTATATAGTAGTAGTAGTAGTAGTAGTAGTAGTAGTAGTAGTAGTAGTAGTAGTAGTAGTAGTAGTAGTAGTAGTAGTAGTAGTAGTAGTAGTAGTAGTAGTAGTAGTATGTTTGGTTGTTTCAGTAGTAGTAGTAGTAGTAGTAGTAGTAGTAGTAGTAGCAGCAGCAGCAGCAGCAGCAGCAGCAGCAGCAGCAGCAGCAGTAGCAGCAGCAGCAGTAGTAGCAGTAGTATTAGTAGTAGTAGTAGTAGTAGTAGTAGTAGTAGTAGTAGTAGTAGTAATAGTATGAGATGAGTCTGTCCTATACTATTGTAATTAATAATTGATACTCATATCAACTACGAATAGGTGATTGTTTAAAGAATATGATATATTATCATTGTATTTCTAAAACAAATTTCTTACAAAATTCCGTATGACTTACCTGAGCTTGAACGGCTCTTTGTACGTGGTCTTGTGGAAGTAGTCAAACTAGCCCTGTTTGAGAATACGCTAGGATGAAATCCTAGGGTAGTTCCACTACAGGCGAAGTCCGTGGTAGGGACGTACGTAGGGCACGAGGGGTAAGATGCCAAAGGATGAGCCTGGCTGTAGGGACTTTCCGCGCCTGATATGGACATATTCATCGCAGAGTTTCCAGTGATCGACTTTGAGCACACCAACTTCTCGTCAGACGATGAATTATAATCAGAAGTTGGGGTCGTCACTGCCGTTGTGCCGACAAGGGGGTCGGGGGTATTTTCTTTTGGTGGTGTTGGTGGAAAGTTGAATGGATGATGACCGCTTGAGTGGTTGCTAGACGAAATGGTAGATGGCTGGTAGGAGCATGCAGGTCTTGGGTGATGTGCTGGTTTACTGAATGGACTTGAACACCATGCACTGTGAGCCGAGCTCTGTACTGAGTGCAGTGACTTGCTGCTTTCTAACCACTGAATTGGTGCAGCGTGAAAATGTGGAGGCCTGCAGACTTGGCTTCCTGAAACACGCACTGAAAACAAGAAATCATACAAGTGAACACACGGTTAGCATACAGGCTAGATCTAATAAATCAGCGGACGTGTGGGCGCACTGAGGCCAAGCTTCTACTAAATAAGCCACTTAAGATTGTCTGTGCTATTTATACGGCCGCTGTAGAACACAGGAAGGGGACTTCCAAACTTCCTATAAGTTCACGTCGCAGAGCTTGACAGCTAAAGCAACTAGCTCGCGCAATAATGAACGTCCGATTTCGATACTTTTGATGTGGAAAACGAACAAAAAGGACAAGGGAATCAAATTATCTTTAAGGAAACATGCTGGCTATCGTAAAATACAGACTCGAGAATTTTTAAATACATAGCAAAAATGATAGGCTTAGATGAAGAAACTAATAAATAGGCCTATATTATTTTTATACAAAATACAAAATAGCCTACTGTAATAACTTTTATTATATGTTATAACTAGGCACCTCTAATGAAAAAATTGCCTGAACAAATACCTATATGAATACATAAAATATTTTAGTGGTAGAATAAAATGAAACATCGAATATTTAGGCATAGGCCTATTTGAATTTTAATGTAGTAAACAATATCTCCTAATTACTAGGCATATAAGTAAACGTAGTCAAATAAATCAGGAACGAAAGTTACAAGTCTTCTACTGGTGTTTGATGATTACAGAATCCTGTACTGCTGGTAATTTTTATATACCATAGCCTAGAACTGACATTTATAACTCAGTTTTAGCTATAAGGGCCCCTCCTACTTTAATTCACTAACCGAAAACAGTACTACATTTTAATTTTTTTAAATAAACTAAAACAATCACTGAAACTTGGTGTGTGATTTGTTTCAGTGTAGGCAAATTAAACAGATTTTAATACGCATTTTTAAATTTTAAGATAATTTTATTATGAAATTGGAGCTTTACTATTGAAAGACGTAATTTAAGCACAGTACCGGTAACTGTCATTTTATGGTAGTTACACATATATACACATACTAGGTTTTTAATCATATCTTAATACTAAAGTGCATTTGTCAAAAACATTAATTAGGCCTATGGGATACTTTTTACCAGCTGAAGACCACATCTTATAAAGCGTATTGTTTACCTAACATTATGCTAAAACAGGTGTTACTGTATGTCTAGCCTGTTCAAACCTACATAAATTTTGTTGTAATACGTCTAGGCTCCTTGTTATTCTAACGGATACTCTAAAATTGATAGTAATAATATATGTTTTCCTCTAAAGTGAATTATCTGTTTAACAACAACAAAAAAAATCCGTAAATACAACCTCTTCAATTTCCAACTGTACCGTAATGTCTTTGTTATTTTGACAGGCATTGTTCTCCTATACTTTATGGTTTCTCTTACTTATTTACTTTGGTTTAATTTTATAATTGTTATTTATATCATCAATCATTTGAATAGAATGCTTAATTAAAGCCTACTGCTTTATTATTATAGTATCAATATTTTGTTGTATCATGATTTCGGCATTGCGTGATTTAGCCTAACATAAATACATACCGTAACTCATTTATTATCCGTAGTTTTTAAAAGTGCTTAATGTCAAACAATTGCAGCACCTGCTCATAATTCATAATGTTTCCATATTCTAAAGTGCCCCATACACACATTTGCTTCCATCTTTCCTATACATATATAGGCCTATTTACGGCTATATAGCATAGGCCTACGATTTACGCCACAATGCCACAGTCTATGTACCGGTACTATTGCTGTCTCTTATACACATCACGATACATGTAGGAATAAATTGAAAACCTGTGTCGATTAGTTTGGGTAGCCTTGTATTTCTCAATATGTAACATACAGTACTAACACACTAAAAACACGAACTTTTGAGCACGCATAACTTTTTCAGGCGACGGTCATAATTCGACAGTCTGACTGAAGTAGTTCACTGTGATTTTCACAATGCAGTCTACCTCAATTTTATTGCTGAAGGCCTATGCCTATAGTTAGACTAACACAGCTATCCAAACTAGAAGGTAGACCTACTTAGAGAGAAAGATGTCCCGCCTGTAGGTTGGTCGACTGGCAATGGCATGCTAACGAATAATGTTAGTAGTAATGGTAATAATAGTAATTATCATTATTATCATAATAATAATAATAATAATAATAATAATAATAATAATAATAATACAAAAATAATAATAATAATAATAATAATAATAAGAAGAAGAAGAAGAAGAATGATAAACATGTCGGTATAGTGCTCAGGGCGCTCTCCATATCATTACCCTAGTCATTGAAACGATGTCTATATGGAGTGAGTACGGTACTACATTGTTTGGTTTATGACATAAATCATCGCTCGAACATTTCTAAGTATTCACTTATACTACAGGGGCACGAGCAAGGGTTGCGAATTCCTCCTCCTCCCGTCATTAATGTTAAGTGCCAACCGCTTCCACTAAATATTATTAGGCATGTAAAACATGGTTTTCTACCAAAGGTACTGAGGTAATTTTAGCAAGTTTTTGATGACCTGTTGAATTATAACAACGAGTAGCATACGTTAATTATGCAGTTGCATTACAACTTTTAGTGGCGTTAAGACGAACCATATGCATATTCTGTTCATAACCTTTCGAATAATTTCGTGAATAATCTTATGAATACTGAACAATCTAAATGTAACCATTTAATCAAATACCGATAAATAGGAATTCATAAGATAATGAAATTCAAATTCTGATCGTAGCATTGTTTTAACTAGTAAAGCAACTGTTTATTTACTACATGTATACTTTCAGCCACATTTAGCATAAACTTACTTTTTTTTTTCATTTTAAAAATTGAAACATTAGCACGCAATGCAAATGGTAAGAAATTATTAATTTTTAGTAGATTTTAATAATAGCCAGGATTTATCACAGCGCCCCCGCGCGGTCATTATACCTTAGCCATCTCTAAAGAAACATCATCTCAGTTTCCGACCGAAGTTAATAGAAGATTAGTAATAAATAGTTTAGTATGCGATGATATCAAAATGAAAAGCAACGCAACATACACCAAAGGAAATATTTTTTTATCACAATTGCACCCGTTCTATAAGGAAAGGTTCGTTTGAATTGATTTTATCATGTTAATTATTTTGCTAAAATGAATTGTGCTGAATGGAGAGCTTTCAAAAGGGGCATAGAAATTAACTGTACATAATTTGATATCAAAGTTTTCTGAACTACCTGTCATGAAATACATATAACTAGTTATATTTATTTCCTTAGAACTGATATATTATATAAAACTAAAATAAATTAGCCTAATAAAATTAATATAGGCCTATTTTCAAATAACAAATTAATTATATTAATATCAGTAATTAAAATCTACTGAAAACTGTAACACTACATAATAATAATAATAATAATAATTCTTTGATATGCCCTACTTGTCTTTTAAAAATTTTATTATTTTTCCTCTTTTCCATTTTAAGGCAGAATCGGGAAGACTAATCGTTTGTCCAACTTTCTCGATAATAGCGTTTTTTATCCTCTTTATTCGTCGATATATGTGTACCGGTATAGCCCGACTAAGTATTATATCAATCAAAGTCTACCTTGACTGTGTTTCTACTGAATTTCCATAATAATTTATTCGCTACAGTACTCAATAATAATCTACCCAATAATCATTACAAACAACATTGTATTTGTTGGCTACTGTACAACAAACTTAAAGGAAGACGGCAGGTTCAATAACTAATGTCGGGAATTCTGGTAGCATGTCCAAGTTACCAAACCACTGACACCTTATCATAACATTATTGAGTTAGAAAGTTATGAATAAGAAATATTTTAATATTATTTGTGGCGACAGAACAGGAATTAACAGCATAATAGAGAGGGATGTTGTTTGGAATGTATGTTAGAGGACATGCGTACATAGGCCCCTATCTATTTTTTACACCAAAACTTTAAATACCTCTAATACGGAGAGAGAAATGAATTGACTATATAACATAAAAGCCGTCTGTAGACACTGACCTACAATGTTATGTTCACTTGGTTTTTCTTAATGTTTTATGTTCATTTGAAGCAGAAGAATTGACAAAGTTATCAGTAAAATAGTGACAGGCATACTACAACTAAATGACCGAGTATACACGTCATTGACAATAAATACAACATACGGTATAATCAGCAAGAACTTAATTTCTTAATTTCTAAGTCCCAAGCACACTCAAGAATATTTGCTAATAAACTTTTATTTTTTGAACTTTTTTCTGGGCACGGCATGAATAATGGCATAACTATGTAAAATTCAGCACCGAGTTACATACAACAAAACGTTTTATCCTAAATATACCCTTAAGCTAAAATCAATAGGAAGGTAATAAAAGGCTTAAATTAAAAATAAAATTAAAGATAGCTATGTGCCTAAATTCAATAATTAGGCTATCCACTGGTAGGCCTATATACCGCCGTAACTTACTTGACGATGATCTATAGCTGTGCATTGCCCTGGCTGCAGAGTTGGTATAGTAGCCTGCGTGGTTCATATGGTTTCCTGATCCATCAAACGTCGGAAAGAAGACGTCTACTTCTTCGGTCTGCAAAATTTGCGATGAAGGCTCTACGAAATTTAAGCCCGAAGGTACATGCATTCTATCGACTGAAGGCCCACTGGGTGCGTGGGGCGCGTGCGTGTCGTGAGGTTGTCCGTTCACCAGCATCCAACGGGTGGGCTCCGACATTGAAGGAGAATGTGACATATCCATAATTCTTAGTAATATAGTCACCTTCGCCTGACAGAGATAGTGGTTACTAACACGTCAGGTGTGTGTACGTCTTTTCACGTGGGTCTGGGGGTATCCACGCGTTTATTAATTGAGTAGAGTTAAATTGATCTTCCGATCACAGGCTCAATTTGAGGCTTGTCTCTTCAAATAAAAAGTGCAACTGCAAAAAAGAAAAAAATATTATTTAGGATGTATTTTTGTAAATGTAATATTCACTATTTATGTTTGCTTCCTACCATTGATAACTAATTGGTAAACTAATTCAGGAAAATTAGGGATTGCTTATCGGGTTAAATGAATTAAGGATCGGACAAGTTAGCCCCTTAACAATCCGAAGAAAGCTAGAGCATGGTGTGTCATCCGCGGTCACCCGGGAAACAAAACCTGACGTAATTACATTGTTTTGATTACGCCATCTAAAATGTACACTCAAAATCGTAAAAAAAATTATCTCTTATTGATATAATCCTAGTTTATCTACTACGGTGTCGAATATTATCATTGCCAATTCAACTCAGTATGTCATGACAATGAGTTTGTTATAGTAACGTAGTGTTCGAAATAGCCAATTGGGAGGTTTTTAATATTCCCTACCACCTAAAGGGGCGGAGCCATTGAATTCTAGCTCTATACAAAAAAAAATACAACCAAATCAATTAAACATTTTATTATCTTGATATTATTCTGCAGCTTAAAGATTTTGTTATCTGATAAATTTGTGATGCAGTCTCAAACCGTTTGCCCTTGAAATAATAGGCCCTAAGTGCAGCTTTTTTTCATGTGTTCTAAGATCATTTTCGTTGATAAATCGTTAAAAACTTGTAATTTGAAAATAACTACAGATCTGTAAACTTGAAGAAAGTAATTAAGATGTAAAGAGAAAGTTAATAAAATAGTTTCATTTTCAAGATTGACTTATCAATTTCATCAACTTGTGCATGTATTTCGATAGAAACTTGTAAGTGCAACCAGTCTGTTGCAACTTAATTCTATTGATTTTGTTAAAATAGCCATAAAACATAAATGGGAAATTCAATTCAAGACACATGAACAAAATTCAATTAAAAACTCCAACATTAGTTTCGACCTTGCTTTACAAAAGTATGGGTAGGGGTAACATATTAGTCCTTCAATAACAAACTTGGAGTAAAAAGTGACACCTTGAAAACAATTGCGAACTTAATGTGAATTGATTGAACAAACACAAGCATGACTTAAAAATAATAGGCCTAAGATATTCTATTCAACATGAACCACAGGTTCAATTTTTACCATGTTTTACAAACTTTTAAGTCAACTGTTACGCAGGTATACACAGAATGAATCTATCCGACGATCTGTCGAGAGATTTTATCATTGATCGTCTGAATATCGGATCACCATCAACAATATCATTTGCTTTGTATAATACTAAGCTGATAGCATCTGTATTCACGAATATCTAATGTTATAACACACTTTAGTGATACAAGTTATACAGGATTAAATTTGTTTAGAGTAAACAATTAGAATGATTTCACTATATAATGTAAAATTTACCCCAATCTAAAGTTCATAATCTACATGATTTTTTTAGGTTTTTTAATAATCAAAAGTAAGCACTGTATGCCTTTTAATAATCCAATAATATATTATTGTTATGATTAAACATACGGTACCGGTATGATTTGTCTATTTTTACCCTTATATATTTTTTTTTTGACTTTACTAATGTTTAATACTGTAATTTTTTCTTTCTCTCACCAATCAGTTGTTGTTTTAATTGGTTTTTTTTCACTTTAATTTTTGTTCTTTGTATAATTGTTACTTGATTGTATTGTATTATGGACGCTCCACCGTACAGGTGTGTGCCATTGTTCTGAATGTGTGTTCTAATAAATACTGAAATACTGCGATAGAATTTTATTATTCAATAATAATAATAATAAATAAATAAACTACCTCTTCTGTGTTAAGTCTATGTTTTGGGCAAATCAGTCAATCGAAATATTATTTATTAATTTAAGAAAGAATGCAATTCTATAGTCTATAGGCCTATATACATAAATCGTTAACTCAATTAGAGCTGCTAGGCCTCACATGTATATCCACTTGTTTCTTTGATTGGAGATTTTAGTAGGCCTGTACTATAACAGTAGGCTGTAGTTCATTCAGGACAGAACAACGAAAAACCATAGACCTATACCGTGCTTATTAATGAATGATAGTTATTAGGTCGCGCCTTCTAAGGCCACACGATAATATGCATTTATGTTTATATTCAATGGAATTATTAGCCCTTGCAATGAAATCACATGTCTTGTTCAATACTTGCAAAAATATCAAGGTGACCAAAAGTAGTAAGAATGTGTCTGGATAATACTAATTGTTGCCTTCTCCAGCACGATGCCTATGTATACATAACAAAGTTTAAATATCTTACCTACAAATACTGTACGTTACTTTCTGGGTCCTAATATATCTGCTTTATTGAGCACCATTTGTTCAAATTATTACTGCCTTGGAAATAACCGACTGAATTATCAATGAATATTTATATTACCTCCCTTATAATAGATGTCCGATTGCCCACTCAACGTCAAACGATACGACGACTTACGTGACAATTTTGCTTTAAGTTTCTACTTCTATTAATGTATATCTGAATTGAGCTGTGATTTGATTGTCCCTTGGTTACAACATTTCGTCATTGATATTGATTGGTCGAAAAATGTAAACTCATAATACTGCTCATTGTTTATCATTTATCACTTATTTATCATGTATCTGAAGAAAAGTCACTGATCAATTCTTATCTGTGATACGATACGATACGATTTATTGGGTTCACTTTTAGATCAGTGGCACCCATCACTTAGACGGTGCACCCATTAACAATATAAAATATAAACAACGGAAAGCAAAAGACAGTTAAAAAAAACAAACGGATAAAAGCATAACAAAAACAAAACCAAGCATTTACAGTAAAGTTTTACCCTTATTTGTATATTTAAAAAATTCTTACTATAATTTAGTAAGTAAACTGAATGAAACACACTGAACTGCACAAAAACCTGTACTTAGTAGTCGTGTGAAATTACCGGAACGTCGATTATTTATTTATTTATTTTATTTATTTATTTATTTATTTTCTTTTTCTACGGACCAGGGCAGAATCAAAGTCAAATTCAGTATAATATTACAGGTTCTTGTATCCATTCACTATTAAAACTGTTTTATTTACCATCGTCACAATTATTATCGTCTAGAGGAACAATTTGTATTTTATATTGAGTGATTGTAGAAACAGAAAACTATTGTTTTCATTATGCTTGTTCACTATAATTAGATCATCACTGATTGCAAAATAGAACAGCATATCCATGAATTTATTTTGTAAATAATTGTATACTAATTACACCTAGGCCCTATTGAACGCTATGCAATAAAAGAAGATTTCTGAAGATACAACAACGATTTCATTTTCTGTACAATGACTGACTCTCTGAGACAATACAACTATATATTGTACTGTTATTAATTATTAAGTTCTTTTGTTACCTGTATGATTTTCACAAATATCGGAATTATAATATTTAAAAGCAAAGACCTAATTACGTGGTTGATCAGTTGATAAGCATCAAAATCTTTACCCCAAAAATACCCTACCAGAAATATTTAAAATGTAATGTTAATTATTATAAGGCCCATATATAACCAATGCATGGGTTGTAAATACCTTAAGTTCCACTTGTTTCTTAATGGAAACAAAAAAAAAATATTAAAATATAAATATAAATAAAGGTAACCTGAACTGAAATTCTAACCTGAGTCTCTTGTTTTGTGCAGACGTCAAAGTTTACTGAACTGCTACTGCCTTGTGGTGAATTCGAATCCGATTGGAGGCAAGTTTTTTTTTCGTTCAATTTGAATACGGTGATGAGGGCGTATCACATTGATCTCTGATTTACATGGGTGCGTCTAATACGGTTCCGTATTTAAAGTTATGTAGGCTATTTATAAAGTAGATATTCTTATTTGATCTCTAACTTCCAAAAAGGCATACGCCAGACAGACTTTAATAGCCACTGTAAATTGATGATGATGAAAATAATAATTATTATTATTATTACAATAATAATAATAATAATAATAATAATAATAATAATAATAATAATCGGCCCAAAGTAATAATAGATGAGGTTAACGTTGAAGGCAATGATGATGATAATGATAATAATAATAATAATAATAATAATAATATTAATAATAATAACATTAATATTAATAATATGCTAATAATTATAATAATTATTATTATCATAATCATAATGATGATAATGATAATGTGGTCTTTACTTTTGACAAGGCGTCTTTCATTGATAGGCTCGTTAGTTATGATTCAACTATAATTTCATTTTTCAGACGTTAATAGCCACTGTAAATTGATGATGATGAAAATAATAATAATTATTATTATTACAATAATAATAATAATAATAATAATAATAATAATAATAATAATCGGCCCAAAGTAATAATAGATGAGGTTAACGTTGAAGGCAATGATGATGATAATGATAATAATAATAATAATAACATTAATATTAATAATATGCTAATAATTATAATAATTATTATTATCATAATCATAATGATGATAATGATAATGTGGTCTTTACTTTTGACAAGGCGTCTTTCATTGATTAGTTATGATTCAACTACAATTTCATTTTTCATTTTCTTACAATAATTATTACAATAATAATAATAATAATAATAATAATAATAATAATCGGCCCAAAGTAATAATAGATGAGGTTAACGTTGAAGGCAATGATGATGATGATAATAATAATAATAATAATAATAATAATAATAATAATAATAATAATAATAATAATAATAATAATAATAATAATACACTAAGGCACACATGCTCAACTTTTTAGAAAATAATCCACACCGTTTTATCGTTAGGCCCATTTACGAACATTTTAGACAGCGTCTTTTTGTGCAATTTATGTCTGGATGCTATATATTCGAATTCAATTTACTTGTTTCACTCACCTTTTCACAAATGGATCAGCACTTTATCTCTACACACGTTACCAACATTTAAAACATAAAATTTACAGCCTAAACATTTTTTTGGGTGTGTTAATCCACAGACAAAAATGACTGTATCTCCACTTTTGTTTATTTTTTACAATATAAATTTACTTAACTTCACAGAATATACTTAACATTCTCCCATCTACAGCCGAGCTCTTATAATAAAAAGAATCTGCTCCAAGAGTAACATGACAAACAAATCGGTTCAACCAACCAAATCATACAAAACCAAGACCCCATCAAGGTGTGTAATAAAAAAGATCCAACTAAAATCGACCTCAGCTAATATAACACAATCTAAAGTAGACCACTAAATGCGTTCCTTGTCAACCTAACCGGCTATAACACTGATATCAACGACCCTCACTCTTGAAGGTGGCCACTAATCTCAAATCTATGCAATAAACCCTCCATCCAACTGAAAATGACTCGTCACTCACATAATAGAATTTAAACTGGTCTTTACCAGGTTTAGGAACTGAAGTTGTTTTTAATCGCGAGAGAACATCAATGGTAAGAAATTGAGAGAAGGTGATAGGCCATAAATAAATCAACAAACTGATTAAAGTTTGATGCCTAGACTGAAAATGGAAATGAATAACCAACATCATGATTTTACTGTAGGCCTATATAGAGGTCTAAATGAACTTGAATTTATAATAGGCCTACAACTAGATCTGTACAAATTATAATAGGCTTATCCAATTAAGAAACGAATCGAGGAAGTAACTACTGTAGAGTACGGTATGCCACATGTTCACCCCGCGATATTGTACAACGTTTTTGAGGATGTATGTTGCTATAAAATTCGGTCCTAATGTATGTTGCTATAAAAGTCGGTCCTAATTTTAAGATAGATAGGCCTATTCTGTTTCATTTCTTTGTCATGCGGAGTTTTGGTTGAAATCATTTTATGTCTCTAAAATCATTGATGGTGAGGTTGTATATTCATTCATTTATTGTATATGCTTGGGTGTTTGTTTTTTTTTTTTTTTTTTTTTTTTTTAGAATCATCTTAGCAGTAGAATTAAATTGTGATAATTTTCACATAGGCATATCAATTATAATGTTGTGTTAACTATTGAAAATTCACTTATAGCTATGGACCTGGATACATACTTTGGGTAAGTTGCAATTGAGGGCTAGAGCGACCTGATTATGATCCATGTCCCAGGTGGAGTAAATGATCTGTCAGATTTGATGATATGATATAATTAACAACTAGAGCTGTTACACTGTGCATTGTGTGTTCCTTTGTAAGACGTAA